CGGGGGGGGGGGGCGCTCAGACTCAGCCCAGGGGCACGCGAGGCCCAGCACGGGTGTGGCAGGGATGGGGGGGCTACCTGAGTGAGCTGGTCCTCCAGCACCTTTTTGGGGGGCCGAACATTGGTGAAGAAGAGGTGGAGGAGGTTGCCTGGCGTCTGGGAGTTGATCTGCTCTTTGCTGAGATAAATGTCAGACACTTTGATGGGCTTTGCTGGTGTCAGGCTCAGCATCTGCTCTGAGTGGGCGCAGCTCTTAAATATCTCCGTCAGCACCTCTCTGGCCCCGGGCACCAGCTTCTCACCTGTTACAGAATGGAGGGCGGACAAATGATTCTGCCATGAACACGCTACGTCAGGATAAGCCCTGCAGCATCTGATTTATTTTTCATCAACGATTTATTTTTGAAAGTGGGTAATGGGTGGTTAGTGGTGATGATGAGCTGTCCACCGAGACCTGGTGTCCCCTTTCTGCACGCACACCTCAGTTACACGCCCAGCCTTCTCTGCCATGAGGTGTGGTGCTTTGAGGTGCGGCCCCGTGACGTGGGCCCCTCCTGGGCCAGTCTGCTTCAGGCAGGACACAGATGGGCTCCAGGCTAGGCATTTACAACTGGCCTCCTGTTTACATTTCTTGGGGTGAGAAAAAGATGAACTTCAGGCCAGACACTTGCAACTAGCCCCCTGTTTGCATTTCCTGAGACAGGAGATAGGTGGGCTCCAGGTTAGCTATTTAGAACCAGCCTCCTGCTGGCACTTCGAAATAGAAATAACAACAGGAACAGGGTAAATAGCCAGGCTTTGTTTCCTGTGGACACTTTGAGGTAACAGTTATGGCCGGGACAGAGAGGGGCTAAACCCTGTTCTGAGTAAAGATCAAGAGGTCACATAATATATTTCCCATCCTTGGGGCAAGGGAGACATTGCACATGCACAGAAAGGCTCCTTGGGGCTCAAAAAGGAAGGGGCAACACCCCATAATATGTGATGCCAAGGCCCTCCCATAGGCCTCTGGGGTGGAACCCATCTTGGAAAAAAGTTGCGCACGCCTGTTGGGGAGGGTCCTAGGGCAGGGCAGGTGTGGAAAAAGAAACCAGGTAATTGGCCAAAGGTAAACAAAGACCCGGAAGAACTGCCCTATAATGCATGACTTCACGGCCTCTTTACTGGGCTCCTCCTCATTAGGGAGGACGCCCACACCCTTCCTCTCTGGGTGTGCATCTCTGCCTCGCTTCTGTCAACTCAACAAACTGTTTCTCTGTGTGCTCTCCCACTTGTTGTTGTTCTGTGTCCCCAATAATAAACTTTGTACCTGTTTTTATAGTTCTCGCCTCCTTGAGAAACACATTTTTCAATGGGGGTGAGGGCCAGGGGAACTTTGCTTCTAGCCTCTAGCCCTTGCTGGTCCACCGGCTAGGATTCCTGGTTTTCATCCAGGCTACCCAGGTTCAATTCCTGGGCAGGGAACTAAGATCTCACTTCACGCCACGGCTCACTGCTGCTTCTCTGAGATCATGTTCTCTTCTGCACTCATCCCCGCCACTGGCTGCGTGGAGATAACAAGCCCCCAAATGGCAGACCTCAGGGCTCACCCTGGACTCTTACATGTGCAAGAAATGAACTTCCACTGGGTCTGAGTTACTGTACTCTAGGGTCTCTTTATCATGGAGGTTGAACCTCCCTGAACTTCAACATGTCCGTGATGGACAGTCCCCAGGGAGCAAGAGGATGCAGAGGCTGCAAGTACTTTTAGTGCAAAGTACAAGTTGTTCAATAGTTATTATTAGAGCATGCATTTGAAACCTGGCCCAGCCAGCAGGTGGAAAAGAAAGTTCTCTCAGATACAAGAAAACTGTCCATGAGCACGAGAAAAAAAAGACTTGTTTTTTTTGGCCCCCAAATAAGCACTCCAGAAGATGCTCTCACCTTTCCTAAGGGGCCAGTCAGGAATGTTCCCAGGGGAACAGGATGTTCCACTGCATCTTCCTCGTGGCCAAGGGCCCCCACCTGCGGGCAGGACTGACTCGCTCATCACACCCTGTCCTCCTGCCCAGCCTCCTCATCCCCTCTCTCTGGGGCTCTGACCCTCCAGAGGCACACCCAGCTCAGGCCGGGCTTCAGGAGCCAGAGCACAAAGGTTCCCTGGGCATCTGGGCTGAGGGTGAGGAGACAGGTGTGTGGAAGGCGTGGTTAAGATCTAAGAGCTGATTCAGTAGAACCACAACTTAAAGTCTTGAGCAAAATGCGTGTGGCTGTAACGTGGCAAAAGTGTTATCAAAAGACTGAGTATCTTACATGGAAGGTTTGACCATAATACAATCAGGAGCTAGAACTAAATTCGGATTAAAGCATGAAAAGACTGGCAAAGCATTAATTATGGCAGAAAAAGACCCCAGGGTTCCCACAGATCGTACACTAGGAAAAATCATTAATACTGATCCTGTCTTTATTTAAAATTTTAAGTTTGTTCACCATGGATATTTTGCATTAATTTTGACTTTCATAAGTATTATATTAAAATAATTATTTATCTAGATTACTGAGTTGTTTTGGAGCCCCATTAAATTCTGTGGCCTCATTTACCTCACTCTGGTCCCAGCCCCGTGGGAGTATTTCAAAATTTCATGACTGGGGGATAATAATTTGAAACAACAACAAAATCCATACTCAATATTACATTTCTGTCCTCAGAAAACATAAAACAGAACAAACTCAACAACTCTATTATGAAATTTCAAACAATATTAAAGAGTTAGAAAAAACATAGACTTAAAATTTGAGAGAGAGGCTGATGCAAAACAAAGACAACAACACAAAGAACTACAGTTATAAAAAGAAAGGAGAAAAATTGCTGCTGCTTCTGAAGCGAAGCTGGGGGTGAGCTCCTGGCCTCAGGATCTGCTAGATCCAGCTCTGTGGGGCCTCGATAGAGCCCGGGTCCTGGCTGAACAGAAGAAGTGGGGAAGCCAGACAGGGTAGGGTCCCCCCACATAAGAGCCACCAGAATGACAAAGTGGGACTTTGTGAAAAAGGAACTGGAATCGGTTCTTCCCCAAGAATTCATTTTAAAGGGCGAGGTGTTAGCTGTCCTCGAGCATATTGCATATTGACTAAATGATTACCAGCAATGTACATGGTACATTCTAGCTCTAGAGGACAGAACAAAATAAATACACCTGAACTCAAACAAGGGGAAGCCTGACTAGACAAAAGGAAAAAAGCAATTTGAATGCAAGCCCACATTCAAGACTGTGGCAGGAAATAGGAGCACCTGAGGGCTTGGTGTGCGGGCCTGTGGCAGGGCCTGCCCGCTGGCCTTCAGAGCCCTGACGGCTCTCCTGGGGGAGCAGCAGTGTTCTCTTCACATCGTGTACCCAACGCACCTTCTGTTAACCAAGCAGTGAACCATCTTCCCAACATTCCCTGAATCACTTCTTAAATCTTTGACCCCCAGAGCTCCTCTTTAAGGTAAGATGTTAAAAATAGGGAAAACAGGACATGGAGAGGGGTATGATTTTTTTTTTGTGGCCGCGCTGTGTGGCTTGAGGGATCTTAGTTCCCTGACCAGGGATCGAACCCAGGCCTGTGGCAGTGAAAGCACTGAGTCCTAACCACTGGACTGCCAGGGAAGTCCCAAGAGGGGTATGATTTTTGCTCAGTTTTTTTTCTATAAATTTCTAAAAAAAAGTCTATTAATTAAAAAAAAAAATCTATAACCTACCTTTAATTGACTTATCATTGAAATAATCTTCTAACCCTGGGCTCCCCTGCGTATCAAACAAACTCTGATTTACTACAGACACAGTGAGGATCTCTTCCGTTGACATTTCCATCAATTCATCTTCACCATCCAAACTTGACAAACCAATCAAGTCATTATTGTTAAATAAACTCGCTCGGATTTTCTCGATTTTGGCTCGGGATCTGATCTGTGTGAACAAGGAAAAGGGTAAGGATTTGAGTGGAGAGACCAGTCACTCAGCTAGCTGTATGAACTTTCTTTCCCTCCTGTCTGTCCCTGAAACCCTCTACTGTCTTCAGCGTTGGGAGCGCGGCCTGACCGGGGCAAGCTGGCCTTCCCGGCAAAGTCTCTCGTATGTGCCGAAAGTGGTAACTTGCAGGAGAACAGCTCAACTGGACGTCTCTGTTGCTAAACCCCCGTCAGGTCTGTGGCTCTACGCAGATGCCCCAGGGGTTCAAGTCCACGCTTGGCTCCAAGAAAATCCGCAGGGAGAAGGTGGACAGATTCTGGGAGGAAGCCAACCCCTGGATCTTTGAGCTCTCCTGTCAGAACCCGTGGGGCGGGGAGCAAGGGGGTGCAAGTTCTCCTAGTGCCTTCCCCTCCATATCTAATAAGGGCGAGGATGGTTTTTACTCTGCACCCGACTCCCGTTACACAGGGGGCAGGAAGACACAGGATGCAGGATTTCTAAACAAGGAGGCCCAGAAAACACATGGGATCTTGAAGTGGAAATGTAATCTGGCAACACGCGCAGCGTCTGAAACTCAGAATCACTCCGAACAGAACGGCAAGTCTGTTCTCACTCTGCTCAGTGGGGATCCCTCCTGCCAATGGCAATGGTTAAAACAACTCAAAGCCACGCAAAAAGAGGCCACTGGGGCCTGAGTTGGAAAACACTCGATGATGCCCACCCATCAGGAAAGGTCAGCCCCTGGAGCCCCTCCCACACTCTGCAATGAACTGTATTTACTTCCTGACAGACTTGCTATCACACTCAAGAGATGGGACCTCAAATACAGATAATCAACATGATTGATCACTGCAGTTTCCAAGAGCTGCCTCAGGGAGCCCGCTAAGTGCCCCAATGTCACCTATTAGTTAGTCCCTTGGAAATAATATTGGAAGGCTTAAAGAGGCCTGGGGGATTCTAACCGCTCATGATTTAAGTGGTTGCCAAGGCGTGAGGTGCTTACCTCCACGACCGCAAAGCCTTTGATGGGGCGTGCTGTGAGGGGCTGGTTGTCCAGGGACGTGACTGTGTACATGGAGCCCATGTCTGACACTGAGGCCGTTTCTGCGTTGTCCAGTGGCTCCCCCAGGCTCCCGAGGCTGCCCAGGCTGCTGGTGCTGCATAGGGAAACGTCCAGGCTCTCCTGGCTGGACACTACGTGGGGCTCCAATAAGCCCGCAGGGATGGGCAGCTCTAGGCCCGAGGGCAGCGGTTCCGCGGAGACGTCGCTGACCGTCTGCAAGATGCCCTGGGAGCTGCAGATGGAGGCTTGACTGGTGGACGCAGATGCGCTGATGCTCATGGCGGGGGTTGGGCTGCGGGACGTGCTGACCTCCAAGCTGTCTGTGCTGGGGAAGCCAAGGGTCTTCTCTGGCTCGGCTTTCCCATCACCGCCCTCGGCCTTGTCTTTTGGCTTCTTGGGGTCTTCGTCCTGCAGGGGGATGTAGATCTCGTCTTTGAAGACCCCGCCGTGGGCGTTGCAGGCCTTACGGATGGCGCCTCTGACGATGCCCTCGTCCAGGTGGGTGGGGATCCCAGAGATCACCAGCAAGCGGCTATGGGCGGTGGGACCCACCAGGGCCTGGCAGGCATCGGCGACGGCGTCGCTCGTCACACCCAGCCCCTGCGGGTCCTTCCTGGTGAGGTGCCGGAGGATGATGAGCAAGGTCAGGGCGCGATGGAACCACAGCATGTCTTCGGGCTTGCCACCCCCGATGCTCAGCACGGCAGGGTCCGAGTCCACTGAGCGCGAGGACTGGCGCTTCCCGGAGGAGGAGGCCTTTTCCCGCTTCATCTTGACTTTCTTCCTCTTGGACAGGAGGCTGGGGCTCTGCGGCGTCTGTCCTGGGGAGGACGACGAGGAGGACGACGAGTCGCTGAGGTTTGGGGCAGTCGCCGACGTCACCCCGCTGGCAGTGACGCTCATGTTGGTAGGCAGGGTCACCTCGGCCACTGCCAGGCACCCTTCCATGAGCGCGTGGAAATACGTAGAGAACCTGCCCTGGTCGGTGGCCGCCACAGTCCCCGAGCCACCGCACGTGCTGCCCGAGACCCAGCTCTGCGTCTCCTCGTCGTACAGCTTGTGGAGCTCTGACTGCAGGGCCATCAGCATGGCCAGGCAGGGGTTCAGCTGGAGGGCGATGGACGAGGACAGGCCGGCAGGGTGCTTCCTCTGCTCCAGGCTGTGCACTGTGCGTAGGAGCTCTGCCAGGAGGTGGAAAACCAGCTCTTTCACGCAGGCCGCCATGTCTGTGGTCCACAGGAAGTTTCCTGAGGCGAATGAAAGCAAAAAAAAAAAAAAAAAAAAAAAATCACCTATACAGAGCTTACTATGTGCCAGGCACCGTTCTAAGGCACTTTAATGGAGTCAGCCCTCACAGCGACCGCGTGAAGCAAACATTACATCCTTCATCCCCATCTCACAGATGAAGAAATGGAGGGTCAAAGAGCTGAAGGACTCACACGGCTGCCACATGGTCACACAATCTCACAGGGCAGAGCCGGGCAGGCTGGCCCCAGAGCCGGTGGCCTTCACGCCTGTGGCAGGTGACCGCATGGGGCCAGCTTCTACAGCTCTGACCCCCAAATCATTGTTTTCTTTCTCATAAAGTTATTAAGCAGGTTGGTGACAAATCATTAGCATAATGTTTCCTGAACCGCGGGACGCTTACTACTGGGGGCATACAATCCAATTTTACCAGATAGCTCAGAAATACACACGGAAAAATGATTCCTTTTAAACTCCTCTTTCAGTCCTGATTTTGTCAACAAAAAAGCCTCACTCTGGGGCTAGAATATTCTTAATAGAGAATAGCCCAGAGACCCGGAGCCTTCGACAGGGAACAGTAGTTAGCCAGAATTTCTTAAGAGTAACTGCTTAACTTTTTAATTTTATAAGTATCTTCTAGTTATGGCAAGGGATACGAATTTTCTGTTTAAAGTAGCAAGATAAAGTTTCCTTTAAAATTCAGTATAAGTTTAAAAAAAGGAGAAAGGAGTTGATTCCCATAAAAACAAACCAATAAATGTTCATAGGCATGATTTGTAGACATGGCAGAAATCACATAAAGGTGGCATGAGAATGACTGAAGTCTAGGAAATACTGTCTAGAACAACCGTGGGCCACACATCTGTGCCAAGGTCACCTTCATGCCAGATGCATGTCTTCTATCCCAGTCACATTGTGGACAGGGAGTCCCAACGGCCAGGTCTGGCTGACTTACCGAGAATCCCAATTAGGCCCAGCACCCACGAAGGAGGGGACTAGGCTGACTGGTCTCAGGGGTGATGCTGTTTTGATAATTCTAATTGGTAATGAACTCATGGCTGTCACGGGACATGGTGCTCATGGAGCCACTGACAGGGAATAAAGGCCAATGGGGTCTAAGGCCAGGCCCTCAGGTGCTCCTATTTCCTTCTCTATTGTCCTTCCTCTGCCATTGGACATTTTTGGAAGACGATGGCCTTGGAGAGAAATCTCCACCAAAATTGCAAATGGTGGCCCGAGAGCTGAGACCGGCCACATACATCTCGTTCCCACAGCCAGTGGTTCCCTGCTCACCTCTTCCGACCCCCTGCCCAATGTGTTTTAAAGAATGTGAATTAGTTGTCAACATTTAGAAACTGGGAAATTCACATCAATATCTAGATTTCTGGCTTTTCTTGAAATAAAAAGTGACAGTATCTGGCAGGACTAGGACCACGTTCTGATACAGCAAATGAGTGGCTGCCCCACAGGACACGTGCCCTCCAGTTCCCTGGAGGTCCTGGGTCCACTTTCCTCTCGAATTCCTCTCACTTACATCATCTCCCTGACCCCTGAGGGCACCTGAGTTTGCCAACATGTTTTTCCCTCCAACACCAACATTTTGTATTTTTGAAAAAAGTACAAAAATATAAAAAAGTTGAACACCTTATACAGTCAATATTTGGATGCTCACCACCTAGATTCTACCATTAACATTATTACATGTGTAACAAAGTTGTATTTGTTTTATTACACATCTATCTAACCCTCTATTCATCCATAGACTCATCTTAGTTTTTGATTATTTCAAAATAAGTTGCAGATATCAGTATTTTTATCCCTAACCACTTAAGCAGACATATCATTAATTAAAACTCAATATTTAGGGCTTCCCTGGTGGTGCAGTGGTTGGGAGTCCGCCTGCCGATGCGGGGGACGCGGGTTCGTGCCCCGGTCTGGGAGGGTCCCGCATGCCGCGGAGTGGCTGGGCCCGTGGGCCGTGGCCACTGGGCCTGCGCGTCCGGAGCCTGTGCTCCGCGGCGGGAGGGGCCGCAGCAGTGGGAGGCCCGCGTACCACAAAAACAAAAACAAAAAAACCCTCAACATTTAGAAAACTTTTGAGGTAAATTTATATTAAGTTCACAACTCTTTAAGTTTACCATTCCATGAGTTTTGCTGCAATGCCATCTCTCTGAAACCTTTCAGATGCTGTGAGGTCATAATGATTGAAGTGAAGGGTGGTATGGAAGTGAACAATGTTACAGAATCAAAGTTACAATAATGGCATATGTTTGTGTTTTAAAGTAAAGTATGATAAAATTAATCTTATTTTCCTGGTTAGATGCTACCCTCAAAATAAGGAAAGTACCCTGCAAATCATGGATTTGGAAGTCTAGGCTACACTTTCCACTCAATTCCCCAAGCCCAACTGACAGCAAGCTGACAAGAGCTGTCGCCACCCAGGCCACTGTGGCCACCCCAGGCACACCGGCCAGCTCCTCCCCCAGGCACCCGGCCAGCTCCACCAGCCTGATCCTGAGGGAAGGGAGGCCTCACCGAGCAGTTCCACCACTTGCAGGAGGACGGACGTCGGGATGGTGTCAGGCTCATCTTCAGATCTCCCTTCGCCATCCTCCGACTTCCAGGACAGCAGCTGCTCTGCGAAGGCCATCGCCAGTGGGAACTCAAGGGGCAGAGAGTGTAACGCCAGCACAGCTCCGGGAGGGGGAGACACCCCTAGAAGAAGCGCCCAGAAGGAAAGCTCATGACTGGTAGCACCCGATCAAAACAAGCTTGCGATAAAGACCTGCCAGGTGTGCGCAGAGAAACAGGGCCGGAAAGCCTGTTTGGGGTGAATGTTTATTTGGGGAATGACAGATAAGACAGAGATCTTCTGTGTTTAATATAAATTTAATATAAATTTTATAAACAGTGTAGGCAAAATACAATGAAAACAATAGACCCTAATAAAAAGAGATCATAAACTTGTTTAGCATTGACCAAATACCTCAAGAAATGTCCTTTCATTTTATTCCCTAAGGATGCAATGTCTCCAGGATTGGAGCTGTGCAGAAGCCAAGGCCCAATTTTGGCTGAAAGTTCAAATACATCTTTATAATTGTCTCTAACAAACATGTGTCCATCTTCTCCTGTCCAACATGCCAAGGACGTGCAGTGCAAGTCTGAGACTAGGTTTCCCTTCCTCTGTGTGTTGACTCAGAAACAGAGTCAGCTGGCCCCAGTATACAAAGCAGACAGTCAGCGAGAGCTTCAGGATTTACAGAGATGGAGACCTCATCTAAATCTAAATCTGCAGAGGCTTAACAAAGGATGCCAAGGAGACAGGACCACTTCGCTTCCCAGCCTGGCCACCACCAGGCTTTGTTTAACATTGACACGGGGAGCAGATGATCACTGAGGCCCGTGACCCAGGGAGCCACATTATACCTGAGAGAATTCAGTTTTAATGAGAACTTGAAGGGCAGCCAGGATTATTACAGCTAAATGATGGGACTGCTCTGTTTAGATCATTCTGAACAGCACACGCTTGTGAAAGGAAAGGAAATCCCCACTGTAGTCTGGGCAGCATCTGCCAGGTCTTCCCCTGGCAGGAAAGGGAGAACTTTTAATCCACTCTGAAATACACTGCCCCAAGCAGTCCTTTTCTTTACCCATAGGAAACTGGAACACAGCACGGTAGAAAATCCTTTCAATTTTCACAAAGAAGGAAAGCAGAGAATGACTTCAAAGCTGTTCTTATTACCAGGAGCTAATTCAGAGACTTACCCAGTTTGATGTGGACTTTGTCTGTGGAGAGGATCACAGAAGGGTACTGGTTGGTGGTGGGAGGTGGCGTGAGCCCCGTGTTGGCCGGAGACGCATCCCGCGGGTAACAGATGGCCTCGATGAGGTTTAGCTGGCCATTTCGCTTCACTTTGTGGCCCAGCCCGTACACAAGCACCCGCGCCCACGGCGCCTTGTACAGAGAGGAGCTGAGGAGGAGGGATGCGTGTGAGCAGAGTCCAACCATGTCAACAAACACTTTGTTGTGAGGGGGGGGTGAGAACTGGGCACACGTAAGTCACCTCCATTACATTTTAGAAGGTCATTCTTTATATAGACTAATTTCCAAAACATGGAAATTAGGGAAGAACTCTGTAAATCACGTTCAAGTACACTATGCATTAAAGAATAAAAGCAATGACTTTTTTTCTTCTGTAAATTGCACCAGAATCTGTCTTACTTTTCTCTCCCCATCACCATCTTCTACAGTACGGGCAACTTACTCTTTGCGGAATCCAGACTGACTTTCTTTGCAAGATACTACGACAAAAGCCGCCCCGGGGAAATTGACGTCCATGTTGACCTTGGACTCGGAAATTGGAAACTCTTCAGAGGGGAACTGCTCTGGTGCCGTCTGCAGAGACATTTAACAGGGAAAGCCATGGGTTAAACACAAGAGAGCTTTTCCTTTTCCCAGCTCCCAGGCAAAGGAGAGCCAATGCATATACACTGTAACAGGATCAGGAGGACAAAAAAAGCCCTCTGGGAGGAAGGACACCACGGATGGGACAAGGCAGGGGAGCTGCAAAGAAAAGCAGACTAGTGGGGCTTGGGGAAGAAAGTGTCATTTTCAGCCAGCCAATAAGATTTCCAACTGAAACCTGTAACCCCAGTTTAGGGACATCAGAACTTTGGACGTTTACCTGCAGGAAAGAGCAGATCTGTTTCGTCAGCTCCAACAGGCTCTCCTCACCCTGGTGCAGTGTCCGAGTGATGGCCACGTTGAGCCACTCTCTCACTGTCTGGGAGCTGCCCTGGTAGAAGAGGTCCGTGGCCGAGCAATTCTGGGAATGGATGCAGTGCTGCAGGGACTGTGCCAGGAGGATGGAGCTGGAGCTGATGGTGCCATCTGGGGACAGGCAAGAAAACACAAGTCAACCAGAACAGCAGCAGCCACGGGCTGTGAGATCCTGAGTAACGAGCCAGGAGCATTCTGTCCAGAAAACCAGGATGGGTTAGCTTGGACATACGTCTTGGATAATAGACGTTACCAGTCAGATCCTGCAGGGGGTGGGGGATTCAGGAGTTCGATGGTCTTTAACTTTTTCCTTTCTTTTAAGCTACAAAACTGTTGCCTAAAATAAAAACCTGAGTTGAAGCCCAGGTCTACTAAGCAGGTAGAAGTGGAGCTGCTTGGATTCAGGGGTTCCCAGAGCCTGACCTATCGGCTGCCCTGGCCAACCTGGAGTTTCACCAAGGAACCACTGGAGTAGCTCAGAGTGGAGTTTATAAAGCAAGTGTTAGTCACTGTGGCAAAGCTCCTTCCACAAGCACGTTAAAGCTTTTCAGGTCTGTTTTGGAGCCTCTAATTTCTTGGGGTGGGCCACTGAACCCCCGCGTGCTTAAGTGGCCTGTGGAGATGTAGTTCGCACAGGCACTGGCTAGGACCCCATGGCTGTGAGAGATGTCCTTTACGCTTAGAATGCCACCTGCCCTCTCACTCCTGCTCCCATCTTAGTAGCTAGGAGGTCAAGGGAAGCAGGCTGGAGGCCAAGGTGCCAGAGGAAGACAGGAGGGGCCCTTCAGTCTTCAACCGGGGTGAGGGCAGAGTCATCACTTAGTATTCACCAAGGGAGCGAACACACAGCATCAGCCCACACTCCAAGGGCCCCACGTTGAGGAGAGGCACACAGGCTGGCCCATTAAAACAGCTCCGCTTGAGGTCACAATGAATCAATTAGGTCTCTTTGGTGGCATCTGATGGCAGGAACATTTTCCTGTCTTTACATGTCAAACAGAATGTCTGTGACAATAGTACAGTGACTAGATTTCATAAATAAGGCTTCATTTTCCTTGATCCACGATTAGTTTGCTTAATGAATGCTTAATAGGTTAATGACTAAATATGTCATCTAATACACTTAGATTTTTCAAAGAGTGAGAAAGCACTGCAAAGACAGCTGCAATCTTTCGTGCAGTTTATCTACACTAGGTCTAAAGGTCCTGTGCTGGGACTCCTCCCCCTGCTCACGTGGAGAACAAGGACACTTAGTACAGCTCCTGCTTGGCACCCGGCTCACCCTCAGGGCTATTCCATCCTGGGCCTAATTTCTGCAGTGACAGCGGCAAAGCCGAGGTTTACCTGGGAGGGGAGGAGCGAGAAGCTGATTGGACAGCAGCTGCAGGTGCTCCAGGGTAATGTCCCGGATGGCAGGGATGTGGAAGAGGCGGGTGAACAGGTGAGGCAGCCTGGGGGCGAAGATGTTGAGCAGGGCCATGCGGCAGTACAGCCTGGCCAGTGCGGCCTCGCAGCGCAGCAGCTCCCTGCAAGGGAAGGGCAGGCGACAGGCAATGACCTCTGATGCTCCAGCCTCCACACTGGGCCGGGCCACGGGCCACTGAAGGGGAAGGACCACATCTCAGGCTTCTCTGGCCTCATGTTCTGTGCTCCAAGTTAGACACTTGTGTTTTAAACAAAAAGCCACATTTAGTTATGTTTGATTTTTCCCAACTCAAAAACCACCGTGGAAAAAGAAATGAAAATATATGTTCACATAAAGACTCACATATACGTGTGTTCACAGTAGCATACATATAGTAGCCAAAAAATGGAAACAGCCCAAATGTCCAACAACTGAGGCACAGTAAATCCATACAATGGAATGTTATTCACAAATAAAAAGGGATGAAGCAGTGACACGTGCTACGACATGGATGAACCTGGACAGCCCTGTGCTAAGTGAAAGAAGCCAGACACAAAAGCTCACATATTATGAGTCCATTTATATAGAGTGTCCAGAATTAAGCAAATCCATAGAAACAGAAATTAGACTGGCAGGGTTGAGCTAGGGGACGGGAGAAGGGGAGCTGACTACTAATGGGTGTGGGGTTTCCTCTTGGGGTGATGAAAATGCTCTAGAACTGAGAGTGATGATGGTTACAGAATTTTGTGAATATACTAAAAACTGTTGGCCTGTATACTTTAAATGGGTAAATTACACGGTACATGTATTGTATCTCTGTAAAACTATTATAAAAATTTCAGTGTGGGCATTTTTTTTTTATGTGATGAATTTATGAAGTGATTGGCATTCACCTTGAATAATAGCTCATTAGTGACTAAGCAGGTCTCATTTAGAAATGCATCTCTTGGTAAAGAATCTAATCTAGCTAATACTAAGCATAGGGGAGGCTCCCTGTATTTCATTAGCTAATCACCATAATTAAAAATTCTGCTGGTGGTAAGCACTTAATCAAGAAGGCAAGTTAGAAGCAGCCCTTTTGGAATGTAAATTGGTGCAGCCACTGTGGAAAACAGCATGGAGGTTCCTCAGAACACTAAAAATAGAGTTACCATATGATCTAGCAATTCCACTCCTGGGCATATATCCAGACAAAACTATAATTCAAAAAGATACATGCACCCCTACATTCAAAGCAGCACTATTCACAATAGCCAAGACATGGAAACAACCTAAATAGCCATTGACAGATGAACAGATAAAGAAGATGTGGTACATATATACAATGGAATATTACTCAGCAGTAAGAAAGAATGAAATAATGCCATTTGCAGCAACATGAATGCAACCAGAGATTATCATATTAAGTGAAGTCAGAAAGAGAATGACAAATACCATATGATACCACTTATATGTGGAATCTAAAATACGACACAAATGAACCTATCTATGAAACAGAAACAGAATCATGGACATAGAGAACAGACTGATGGTTGCCGAGGGGCAGGGGGTTGGGGGAGGGATGGATTGGGAGTTTGGAATTAGCAGATGCAAACTGGTATATACAGGATGGATAAACAACAAGGTCCTACTGTAGAGCACAGGGAGCTATATTCAATATCCTGTGATAAACCATAATGGAAGAGAGAATATGAAAAAGAACGTATTATATATATATATATATATATATATATATATACACAACTGAGTCACTTTGACGTGCAGCAGTAGTTAACATAACACTGTAATTCAACTCTACTTCAATAAAAAATAAATAAAAAAAAAAAAAAAGGAAGTAGCCCTTTTGTGTCTATAAAGTCCAGGTCTAAACCCACTCGGAGCCAACAGGGGTCACTTGATATTACCTACTGACCCAAATTAAAGGTAATGCTGGTCCATCATATAAAGTGAAGACAAAAAAGAAACCAGCTAAGACGGTGCATGTTAGGTGGTTTCTTTCTCGGCTCCACCAGTGTGTAATATTCTTGCGCCAGAATTTAAAACAAACCAACTCCACCTGCTTCTTCCCTCCTCAGAAGTTTGTCTGTTGACAGTACTAGCACAGCTCACGAGGACCAGGGCAGCAAAACAGATGAGGTCTGACTATGAAAGCTGAAAGCCCTACAGACTCCCCACAGCTCTCTCCTCAGATTGCAAAGCCTCAAGTTGCCAGGATGAAGCTGGAGTGAGATTATTTTTGGTTGACTCTGCAGACTGTTACCGTCCCTGAAGTCTCTGCTGAGGAGCCCCCCCTGACTCTTCATTCTCTAAAGTCCTCTCTCAAACCCACTTTAGGCAGAGTGAGCACTTTAGGCAGAGTACACCTCTGATGAAAACCCATACTATGACCAGAAATTCCATCATTGTATTGATCAAACAAATCTACGGCATATTTCATATTTCTCCCAATACCAAGATCACCACATAAATACTGATTGTAAATGTCCTACATCTGCAGCCTGACTGTAACCTTGCGAAGCACTTTCTTGCCTTTTCTAAGTTGCTACTCAACAGTCAATAGGTTTCATCTATCACAGAAATTTGCCAAAAATATGACTGAAAGTCTTATTAAAGAAGTTTTTAAAAACTTTAAGAGTACCATATTGATATTCAAGCATATATGTTTGGGGATCCTTTTCAACAAATATGTGGAGTCTACAGTGTGAGCCAGGGCCCAGATTAAGCACTGGGAGCTCTAGCAAAGAATCAGACAAGGTCTCTGCTTTTAGGAAGCTTATGTTCTAGAGGGAGGAGACACACAATAAACAAATTAAAAAAAAAAAAAAAGCAAAAATATCAGGTTCTGGAAGGGAAGTATTGATAAAATACAGTGTTATGACAATGTGCTCCTGTGGGCTTACTTTACATGGTGAGGCAAGGCTTTTTTGGACAGGTGACATATTCATTGCGATCTGAATGACAAGAATGAGATAGCCAATCCACCAGAGGGCAGAGAGCAGAAGCAAGAAGAACGACAATCCTGCAGCCTGTGGAACAAAAACCACATTCACAGAAAGATAGACAAAATGAAAAGGCAGAGGGCTATGTACCAGATGAAGGAACAAGATAAAACCCCAGAAAAACAACTAAATGAAGTGGAGACAGGCAACCTTCAGAATAATGATAGTGAAGATGATCCAGGACCTCGGAAAAAGAAAGGAGGCAAAGATTGAGAAGATGCAAGAAATGTTTAACAAAGTCCTAGAAGAATGAAAGAACAAACAGAGACGAACAATACAATAACTGAAATGAAAACTACACTAGAAGGAATCAACAACAGAATAACTGAGGCAGAAGAACGGATAAGTGACCTGGAAGACAGAATGGTGGAATTCACTGCTGCAGAACAGAATAAAGAAAAAAGAATGAAAAGAAATGAAGACAGCCTAAGAGACCTCTGGGACAACATTAAACTCAATGACATTCGCATTATAGGGGTCCCAGAAGGAGAAGAGAGAGAGAAAGGACCCAAGAAAATATTTGAAGACATTATAGTCGAAAACTTCCCTAACATGGGAAAGGAAATAGCCACCCAAGTCCAGGAAGCGCAGAGAGTCCCATACACGATAAGCCCAAGGAGAAACATGCCAAGACACATAGTAATCAAACTGGCAAAAATTAAAGACAAAGAAAAATTATTGAAAGCAGCAAGGGAAAAGCAACAAATAACATACAAGGGAACTCACATAAGGTTAACAGAGTTTCTCAGCAGAAACTCTATAAGCCAGAAGGGAGTGGCATGATATACTTAAAGTGATGAAAGGGAAGAACCTACAACCAAGATTACTCTACCTGGCAAGGATATCATTCAGATTCGAGGGAGAAATCAAAAGCTTTAAAGAGCAAAAGCTAAGAGAATTCAGCACCACCAAACCAGCTCTACAACAAATGCTAAAGGAACTTCTCTAAGTGGGAAACACAAGAGAAGAAAAGGACCTACAAAAACAAACCCAAAACAATTAAGAAAATGGTAACAGGAACATACACATCGATATTACCTTAAATGTGAATGGATTAAATGCTCCAACCAAAAGACACACGCTTGCTGAATGGATACAAAAACAAGACCCATATATATGCTGTCTACAAGAGACCCACTTCAGACCTAGGGACACATTCCGACTGAAAGTGACCGGATGGAAAAAGATATTCCATGCAAATGGAAATCAAAAGAAAGCTGGAGTAGCAATACTCAGATAAAATAGACTTTAAAATAAAGAGTGTTACAAGAGACAAGGAAGGACACTACATAATGATCAAGGGATCAATCCAAGAAGAAGCTATAACAATTATAAATATATATGCACCCAACACAGGAGCATCTCAATACACAAGGCAACTGCTAACAGCTATAAAAGAGGAAATCGACAGTAACACAATAATAGTGGGGGACTTTTAACACCTCACTTACACCAACGGACAGATCATCCAAACAGGAAATTAACAAGGAAACACAAGCTTTAAATGACACAACAGACCAGATAGATCTAATTGATATTTATAGGACATTCCATCCAAAAACAGCAGATTACACATTCTTCTCAAGTGCTCACGGAACATTCTCCAGGATAGATCACATCTTGGGTCACAAATCAAGCCTCAGTGAATTTAAGAAAATTAAAATCGTATCAAGCATCTTTTCTGACCACAACGCTATGAGATTAGAAATCAATTACAGGGAAAAAAAAGTAAAAAACACAAATACATGGAGGCTAAAAAATAGGTTACTAAATAACCAAGAGATCACTGAAGAAATCAAAGAGGAGGGGCTTCCCTGGTAGCGCAGTGGTTGAGAGTCCGCCTGCCGATGCGGGGGACATGGGTTCATGCCCCAGTCCGGGAAGATCCCACAACCACGGAGCAGCTGGGACCGTGAGTCATGGCCGCTGAGCCTGCGCGTCCGGAGCCTGTGCTCCGCAACGGGAGAGGCCACAACAGTGAGAGGGCCAGGTACCGCAAAAAAAAAAAAAAAAAGAAAAAAGAAAAAAATCAAAGAAGAAAACAAAAAATACCTAGAGACAAATGAGAATGAAAACACGACGATCCAAAAACTATGGGATGCAGCAAAAACAGCTCTAAGAG